TAAAAAATTAACATTGGTAGTATCAGATATTTTGGAGGATTGTCATGTCTTTTTTAAAAAATTAACATTAGTAGTAACAGATAGTTTGGAGGAGTGTCCTTCATTTTTAAAAATGTAACATTAGTTGTAGCATGTAGTTTGGAGGAGTGTCCTTCATTTAAAAATAACATTAGAAGTAGCAGATAGTTTAGAAGAGGATCCTTTCTTTTAAAAAAATGTAACATTAGTAGTAGCAGATAGTTTGGAGGAGTGTCCTTCATTAAAAAAATAATGTAACATTAGTAGCAGCAGATAGTTTGGAAGAGGATCCTTTCTTTTAAAAAAATGTAACATTAGTAGTAGCAGATACTTTAGAGAAGTGTCCTTTCTTTTTAAAAAGTGTAACATTATTAGCAGCAGATACTTTGGAGGAGTATTTTTCATTTTATAAAAATGTAATATTAGTACCAGATAGTTTGGAGTAGTGTCCACATTTTTAAAAATGTGACATTAGTAGTAACAGGTAGTTTGGAGGAGTGTCCTTCATTTAAAAAAATATGTAACATTAGTAGCAGCATATAGTTTGGAAGAGAAGTTTTCCTTTTTTAAAAAATGTAACATTAGTAGTAGCAGATACTTTGGAGGAGTGTCCTTCTTTTTAAAAAATGTAACATTAGTAGTAGCAGATACTTTGGAGGAGTGTCCTTCTTTTTAAAAAGTGTAAAATTCGTAGTAGCAGATAGTTTGGATGAGTGTTCTCCATTTAGAAATAAACCATTACTAGTAGCAGATAGTTTGGAAGAAGATCCTCCTGTTTTAAAAAAAACGTGACATTAGTAGTAGCAGGTAGCTTGGAGGGGTGTCCTTCATTTAAGAAAAACATTAGAAGTAGCAAATAGTTTGGAAGAGGATCCTTCCTTTTTAAAAATGTTACATTAATAGTAGCAGATAGTTTGGAAGAGTGTTCTTTAGTCTTAAAAATATAACATTAGTACCAGTAGGTAGCTTGGAGGAGTGTTCTTAAGTCTTAAAAATGTAACATTAGTAGCAGTAGGTAGTTTGGAGGAGTGTCCTTATAGCATTACTCCCGAACATTGTGTTGTAGCACATCTCATACTTTCTTCTCATGTTCTATTTCAGATACCGTTGTTATTACCATAATATATTATTGTAACAAGTTATGACATTTGATTGTTTTTAATAAAATATAATCATATTGCAAAAACATCTTTGGTTGTATAGGGGATTATACGGACTGCAAGCATTTTTATAATTGTGTTTTTAGCAATTAAAAACAACCACAAAATGTTTAATGTAATCTAAACTTGATTGATAAAAAAAAATCATGTTAATATTCCATTAAAATGCTTTATAACTTTTAATTAAATAGTAAGTTTTATTAATGTCTGACATCCCATGGTAACTTGCTTTTACGTAATTGCTGTTTTCACCATTTTCTTTTCACTGTATACTTCTAAGATAGTAATGACAACTAACATTTTATTTTATTTCTTCCAGTAGCGTAGGATTTCAAAATACTTTACAATTTTTCTTGAATCCAGTTCAATAAAACAGCAACAGTTGCATCATGACTCGTTCATACATTGTTATATTCAGAACTTTCATTTACGTGAAGTTTTATTTAATCATTTTTGTTTGTTTTTTAATTCTATTACAGTTGTGCTTTTATTCTTCTGTCATTTGACTTCAACTCATCCTTACGTCATATTTACTGATTTTGAATACTGAATGAATAAACTTGTATTTCTTTTTTAGGACGAAAAGAATCAGATAGTAACCTCAAACTTGTGGTTAAATTTGGTAAGTTATTTTAATAAAAGGTAGAGTTATTCACGGAAGGTACTTTAAGATCGCTGGAAGTGTTATTCTGTAACTGTCATATTTCTCTTTCTCACCTTTTACTCTCTTCTCTGTAGGATGAAAAGAATGAACAGATTGTAACAAATCTCTGGTTATCGTTGGTAAGTGATCAGCTAAACTAAGAATTCTAAACTGAGGTTAAAAACCAATTGAAAATGAAATAAAAACTTAAAAATCAAACAAGGCTAAAAACAACAAACTAAAGCTTACCCTACAATGTTACTTTCACGCAACAGATTAATAAACAGTTTCCTAAAAGTAAATATAAACCAAAACTAAATAAGTCACTCTGCATTAAAACATGCTCAAATAATTATGATAATCCGTCTTAAAAACCGAATTTATCATTTTACACACACACACACACACACACACATATATATATATATATACTTGTTGAGTTTTTGTATAAGAATGTTGAAAAAAATAAATCGAAGATTATGTTAAAGTAGAAATATAATCACGGCATATTTCCTAAGATATTTTATATATAACATAAAACTATTTTTGCACTATTTAAAATTTTATCAGTGTTAAAGTAAATGGGTTGGTTGGATCTATAATTAAATTAGATATGTTATGAAATTATTCTTTTCGGAAACCTTTAGCAAACCTTATACAAAACAGAACTGTACTACACTGCGAGAAACCTATATAATGACCAGTTGAAATCGGACATACCTAGGCTTATCGTAAATGAAGCAAGAATCAACTTACCCGATTCCGTCGTGTATTAAAGACATCATTCAGACTGCTGTTATCATTACGGAACTAAAGATCACGTATACGACTTCCTTAAAAACCTCGATTAGTTTTGTCAGCTTTAATGAAAATCAAACTCGTATTCTTTGGATTTGAAAACGCTTCTCATATAAGTTTTAACATATAATTATTGAATATTAAGTTCCGCTGAAATGTCTCTAGGACTAGAATTTCGAGATAGTTAATTTTTTGATGTTTTTTCCGCCTTAATTCCTTTGATCGAATCACCGTTGTTGAAAATAAATCGCTAATGCATAGATAATTGTTTTATCAAGTAATTTTTTTACTTCTTTGTTCTAACAAAATTAAACGTTTCTTTCACTTGCTTGAATCAGACAATGCTTACGCTTCATAGGCCCAGCATGGCCAGGTGGTTAGGGCGCTCGACTCGGAATCTGAGAATCGCGAGTTCGAATCCCCGTCACACCAAACATGTTCGCCCTTTCAGCCGTGGGGCGTTATATAATGTGACGGTCAATCCCACTATTCGTTGGTAAAAGAGTAGCCCAAGAGTTGGCGGTGGGTGGTGATGACTAGCTGCCTTTCCACTAGTCTTACACCGCTAAATTAGGGACT